TGGAAGGACATACCCTCTGCCAAGGCCCCATGATATTTCCACATGTACATCTGTAGAGGATGGTTGAGCTCATGAACTAAAAATTACAAAACATGTGGGCAACAGTCACCAAATAGAACAGGTGGTGTTTAAGAAGTAAAGGTGATAGAATTTATCAGATGGAGACTCTAAAATAAGTATGTTTAAGTTGGTTACAAACATAAATGAAGGAATCAAAAGCATAAAGGAAAAAAAGGATAAGGAAAAGTTAGGAAGTTGTAAAAAACCAACTACAACTCTTAGAAATAAGAAGTACAGAAAGAGAAATTTAAAAACTCAGTGGAGTCTTATTTAGTTAACTATAGCTTTATAGTTTTTAGTTGAAAAGCTAAACACGTACAACTGAAGAGAGGATTTTTGAAACAGGTCAAACCCAAACCACTGCCATTGAATCAGTGCCAGCTCATAGCAAATCCATACAACAAAGTGAACTTCCTTGGGTTTCCAAGGTTTAAATCTTTATGGAAGTAGATTGCAACATCCTTTTCCCGTGGAACAGCTGGTGAGTTCGAACTGCTGGCCTTTTGGTTAGCAGCTGAATGCTTTGACCACTCTCCCACTCAAAACCAAAACCAAACTCAAAGATTCTGATTCATGGCAACTCCCATTGCATTTCCAAGGCTGTAAATCTTTATGGAAGCAGCCACCTCATCTTTCTTCCAGGGAGCAGCTGGTGGGTTTGAACTACCAAGCTTTTGTTTAGCAGCCAAATGCTTTAACCTCTATACTACCAGACCTGCTTACTGTGCCACTAAAGCTCCTGAAATAGAAGGCAGGCCTGAGGAAATTCTCCAGAATGCAGCCAGAAAGATGGACAAACAGAGATAAAGTGCTTCTGTTTCAAGTAATGGCCTGGTTATTTGGACAAATCTTCCCACTGGGAGCTAAAATAGATAGCTAGATAAAATACGTGGAAAAAGCATCCTATAGCCTTAATAGCATTAAAATGTTAACATAATAATAATAATAAAAAAGCCTGTAATAGCAAAAAACAAAATAAAACAAGTTGAAGACAACCCAAATGATTATCAACAAAAGAATGACTAAATAGATATGTGGTGTGTTATGTAATGGAATACCATACAGCAATGAGAATGACTGTAGAGCTCCATGTGTCACATAAAACGGACAAATCCCAAAAACATAATGTTAAATTAGAAAAGCAAGTTTCAGAGCTCCACATAATTTTATGTATTGTTTCAGCAATAGTAACAAAATGTAGTAGCTATCACTGCATTGGGGAGCTCTGGTAGCATAGTGGCTAAGGCACTTGACTGCTAACCAGAAGGCTGGCGGTTCAAACCCACCAGCCACTCCTCGGAAGGAAGGTTGGGCAATCCTACTTCTATAGTGATACTGCCTCAGAAACCCAAGGAGGGGTCGCTATGAGTCGGGGCTGACTCGACAGCACATAACAACAACAACAACCGCCACTGCATTGTGCCTAAAATTGGTGAACGAAGGTTGGGCAATCCTACTTCTATAGTGATACTGCCTCAGAAACCCAAGGAGGGGTCGCTATGAGTCGGGGCTGACTCGACAGCACATAACAACAACAACAACCGCCACTGCATTGTGCCTAAAATTGGTGAACACTGGTCTCATCAGGGGGCATCTGTCAATGTGTGGAATTCTCACAACACTCATGACTCAATTTAGAGTTGAGGATACTGAAACACAGAGAAGCCAAGTAACTTTGTTCAAGGTCACACAGTGGTAAGCATCTGAGCAGAGATAGGGCCAGCCTGGTGTTAAACCTGCACTTAAACAAACAGACACAGTGAAACTGCAAAGAATTTCAGGGAATTCCAGAGCTGGGGTTTAGAATAAGGCTACCTCTGTGGAATTGGTGAGGGGCACCTCAGGGGTTTGGGAAACAATGGCAATAGTGTTTTTCTTTACCATGTGGTGAGTATGTGAATGTTCATTGCATTTTTAAATATATACTCTTTATTATCCACTCAAAACTAATAAAAATAATTAAAGGCATGTGCAAATTATTTAGAAGTTCCAGGGAGGGGTGGCAACCCCAAAACTGTTGTGGTTGTTAGGTGCCGTTGAGTTGTCTCTGACTCAAGGAGACCTTATGTACAACAGAATGAACACTGTCCAGTCCTGTGCCAGCCCCACAATTCTTGCTATACCCGAGCCCATTGTTGCCGCCACTGTGTCAGTTCATCTCGTTGAGGGCCTTCCCTTTTTTTGTTTGATCCTCCATGTTACCAAGCATGATAACCTTCTTCAGGAATGGTCCCTTCTTACAACATGGCCAAAGAAGGTGAGACGAAGTCTGACCATTCTCACTTCCAAGGAGCATTCTGGCTGCATGTCTTTCAGGAGAGATTTGTTAGTTCTTTTGGCAGTCCATGGTACTTTCAGTATTCTTCACCAACACCACAACTCAAAAGCATCAACTCTTCTCCAGTCTTCCTTATTCATTGTCCAGCTTTCATTCACATGCATATGAGGTTATTGAAAATACCATGGCTTGGGTTAGGCACACCTTAGTCTTCAAAGAGACATCATCTTCACTTTCAGCAAACAAAGTTGTGTGATCTTCATATCACAGGTTGTTCATGAGTCTTCCTCCAATCCTGATGCCACGCTCTTCTTCATGTAGTCCAGCTCCTTGAATTGTTTGCTCAGCATACAGATTGAATAAGTATGGTGAAAGGATGCAATCCTGACATACTCCCTTCCTGGTTTTTACACCATATAGTATCCCCTTGTTCTGTTTGAATGACAGCCTCCTGGTCTATGTACAGGTTCCTCATGAGCACAATTCAATGTTCTGGAATTCCCATTCTTCTCAGTGTTATCTATAATTTCTTATGATCTACATAATCGAATGATAAAATTCAAGTTTCTGTGGAGCCAGGAAGGTTATAGGGATATGTGGAGGGGTTGGGCAGGATAGTTCTTTTTTTATTTGATGAGGATGGCAAGAAGCGAGGGTGACAAGACTTTGTCTTACATACTTTGGACCAGTCCCTGGTTCCTCCTGATAACATATCAAAAGTGTGTGACATGTTATCTAGACATCCTGAGAAGGACATCATGCTTGGTAAATAGAGGGTCAGCACACAAGAGGAAAAACCTCAATGAGATGGATTCACAACAATGGGCTCAAACATAGCAATGATTATGAGGATGGTGCAGGAGGCAGTGTTTCGTTCTATTGTACATAGGGTCACTATGAGTTGGAACTAACTAGATGGCACCTAACAACAGCAATTAAGAGGAAGGTTTTTTTTTTTTTTTTTGCATTTTTCTAGCATTAAAAACTACTTTATGTTCATGTATATTTTAAACTAGTTAATGCCCACATGTATTGATTAAAAGAAAAACTGTTCTGTATGATTTCATTTATATGAAGGCCAAGGATAGGCAGAAGTTACATGATTTAGAAATGAGTTCAGTGGTTGCTTTGCCGGGGGGGGGGGCGGCACATGGGAATTGGGGTACTGGAAGGCCCTACATCTTGATGGGCTTATACAGGTGTATAAATTGTCAAAACTCATTGACTTGTGCACTAGATTTTTGTGTGCCACTGTATGTAAATTCAATCCTAGTTAATAGATTTGTAAACAATGTTTTCAGTGCATGAGGGTTCCTTTCTGTGTGAAAGGGAAACCTGGCTGGTACTCTGTGGTGTTGGCCTTCAGGCACCAGAAGAGAAGCAGGCAGGAGGTGAGCTGTTTGGATCATGGTTTATTTTATTCTGTGGAAGAGATATTCAAGCAAAATTGGACCATTTTTGTAGTGTAGGCCCAAATGCCCTGTGGGTTTGAGAATGAAACTGAAAAGGTGTCCATGTTTGAAACCATTCTGGCTGCTCTGTTCTCATGCAGACCTTCCCAGTAGCAAGAAAGGACTAGGGCCTGGTGCCAGAGTGTCTTATATGGTGCTAACAGCTCCTTTTGTAGGGGATGTGCTTTGCCCTTGGTAGCACTTTTTTTTCCTCCTTTTTTCTGAGTGTGTAGTGTGCCCACTCTCATAATATTTTCTTGTGTTTTTGGTGAAGGTTTACACAGTAGTTTAGGTTCTCATTTAGCAATTACTGTACAAATTGTTTAGTGACATCAGTCACGTTCTCTGGTTTTTCTTTTTCCATTAATCTGTTTTCCCTACCACCTTACATTCTCATCTTTATTTAAATTAATTGCTAACCATTTGGTCATATGTAGATGATTTTTAAAAGAAGCATAGTACGTAAAGGTGATATCCATTATTTTGTGAGCCATTTATTGTTCAGCTAAAAGGTGTCCTCAGGTTAGTTTTGGTTGAAGGTTTAAAAGGTATCTCAGGGAAGTAGTCTCAGGGAGTCCTATAGTCTCAACCAGTCCAATAAGTCTGCTTTTTTGTTTGTAGGAATTTGAGATTCTGTTCAACATTCTTCTCCCATTCTATCAGAGTCCATTTATTGTGGCCCTGATTAGAACAGTTGGTAGCCAGCCACTGTCTAGTTCTGGTCTCAGGGTAGATGAGGTTGTGGTTTGTGTAGAGTATTTGTCCTGTAGACAAGTTTCTGTTTTGAGTCTTTGGTTTCTTTTTCTCTCTTTTGTGCCAGATGAGTAAAAACCGGTAGTTGTATCTCAGATGGTCTCTTGCAAGCTTTTAAGACCCTAGATGCTACTTACCCACTATGATGTAGAATATTTTATGAACTTAGCAGTTGACAGATATCCCATGAAATTATGGTCCTAATCCTTCAAACTCTGAAAACCAATAAATCCAGTGAGGTGGTGGCACTTTTCACAAAATAATTTTTAGGACCTTTTGAACTCTGGTATATTCTCTTCACTTTGTAGCTCAGAAGCCTACGTTTATTCAGTGAGACTGTTATTGCCAAGTTACAGAAGACATGTCACCTATACTCAGTGGGCTCCAGTCTGAGACTCTCTGGATCTGAAAATTTAGTGATCTAGAGCATTTGACCAAGTGTCCTTCCTTGTCCCCAGAGCCTACGGCGGTGTTTTCCAAGGAGCAGCCAGCACAGAATGAGATACAGGCCGAGGTGGGGACAAGTGCCACACTGAGCTGTGAGGTGGCCCAGCCCCAGATGGAGGTGGCATGGTACAAGAACGGGAAGAAGCTGAGTGCGAGCTCAAGGATACGCATGGAGGCCACAGGCTGTGGGCGGCAGCTGGTGGTGCAGCAGGCAAGCAAGGCAGACTCTGGAAAGTACAGCTGTGAGGCCAGGGGCCAGAAAGTGTCCTTCCGCCTGGATGTCACAGGTGGGTGACTATTAGCTTTGTTTGAGGAAGATGATGAGACTGACTTACCCTGATGAACCCTGGGGTCCTCTATCCTTAGATATCATCTATTGCTTTGGTGTGTGTTTGTGGTGGGGGGCAGAAGGGGGTCCAACATGGCTCCTTCACCTGTATGATATCCCAGTTAGGATGGCTCCCCTGATAGCGCTGCCTCGACCAGAGGCTGGTGGTTATCTTTCTTCTTATGATGGCAGCTGGGTCTCATATATATGTCTGTAATATTTTCTCCTTTGTGACCTTTCTCTTCTTGTGTTATCTCAGCCCTAGGGCCTCTTCCTCTGTATCCTGGGTTTCTTTACTTGGTGGCTGGGTTCCCCTCAATGAACAGTAGATGCTACAAGGCTTCTCAGGGTCTGTTCTAAGGAGTCCCAAGATGTTACTTTCTCCATGTTTTCTGTTCAAAGCAAGTCTTTGGCTCAAAGCAAATTTCAAGGCAGTAGAGAAATAGACTCCACTGTTGATGGAGGAGTGGCACATAGCATTGTTGGGAGTGTGGAGGACATGGAGAGTCCTGATTCACTGGGGACTCCTTTTAACAGTCTGCCATAGGAATCTCTTCCAGCCTGAGCATGTTAGCTTTTTTTCTGACGACTGTCACCTCTGGTGGCATAGTGCCTAAGGCATTTGACTGCTAATCAGAAGGCTGGTGATTCAAACCCCCCAGCCACTCCTTGGAAGGAAGGTTGGGCAATCTACTTCCGTAGTGATACTACCTCGGAAACCCAAAGAGGGGTCGCTATGAGTCGTATCTGACTCCACAACAGTGAGTTGTGTTTGTGTTATCACCTCATGGTCATAAGATGGCTTCTACAGCTCCAGCCATCATGTTTGAAGCAGGAAGAACATGGGATCTGTGCATATTAGATTTCTGTGGCTCTGTAACAAATTACTGCAAATATAGTGGCTTGAAGCGATACTCACATATTTACGCACAGTTCTGTAAGTCAGAAGTCCACGTATGGTGTGACTGAGGCTTCTGCTCAGGTGTCAGAGAATGATGTCAAGGTGCCAGCTGGCTGACTTATCACCCTGATAAGTATTCTTGGGATCCTCTTCCAAGCTCATCCAGATTGTTGGAAGAATTCAGTTTTTTGAAGTTGTAGTACTGAAGTCCCTGTTTCTTTTCTGGCTGTCAGCTGGAGCTACCCACATTCTTTGCTGAATGGGCCCCTCTAGCCAGAAATTTCCCTTGCATTAAATCACTGTTATGTTTTTAATTTCTTTTGCTAAAAGGAACCTCCTTCCTTTTAAGGACTCATCTGATTAGATCCATCTCACCTAGTATAATCTCTCCTTTGATTACTTCAAGTCCACTGATGAGACTGTCATTACATCTGCAAAACCCCTTACAACAGCACCTAAATGAGTGTTTGATTGAATCTCTGAGAGAAGGTGTGCATACATCGTGGGGTGGGAATCTTGGGGCTATCTTAGAATTCTGTCTCTCATCGGGTGTCACTAGCTATGTCTGTCTCTTTCATTTGGAAAACAAGTTTCCTTAGAAGCTCTCAGCAGATTTTCCCTTACACATCTTTGGCTCTGTGTGGGTCTCATGGTTGTCTCCAGCTCAAGCAGCCTGGGGTAGTGGGCATTTGGCTCTCCAGCCTTGACCGTAAGGCTGTCAGAGAAGGAGATGGGTCCATGGTGGGCTGGGATGGTGTGAAGTGTTGGCTGCTGAGCCTGTGTGGCAGGAGGTGGCATGTGTGCCAATGCCTGTACATCTGTTCTTGTGGTTTTTGGTCACTCACCGAGGTATTGTGGCAGAGGGATCAGGGATCAGAGTGTGTGTGGAGGGTCAGACTTCTGGGTCAAACCTCGCCCTACCCCTTACCAGATCTGTAATGTTGGGCAAGTTGGTTGATGTAGTGGGTTGAATAGTGTCTCTAAGAACTTGTGTCCACCTGGAACCTCAGAATGTGACACATTTAGAAATAGGGTCTTTGTAGTTTGTAATGAAGCTATGGGTTGAGAGGATATCATCCTGGATTAGGGTGGGCCTGAAATCCAATGACAAGTGTCCTTATAAGAGTTAAGAAAGGAAAAGGCCATGTGAAGACAGAGAGAGATTGGAATGATGCAGCCACAAGTCAAGGAACACCAGGAGTCACCAGAAGCTGGAAGAGGCAAGGAAAGATTATTCCCTAGAGCCATCAGAGGAAGTGTGGCCCTGACAACACCTTGGTTTTGGCCTTCTAGCTTCATGCACTGTGAGAGAATATATTTCTGTTGTTTTAAGCCATTCAGTTCCTGGTACTTTGTAATAGCAGCCCTAGGAAACTAATATGGTTGATTTCTCTGTGCCTTAGTTTCCTCATCTACCAAATGGGAATATTAATTGTAGCTTTTCCTCAGGATGTGCTGAGGAACTTTGCTGGTCCCAGGTAAACTGATCCCTCCTTTTCATGGAATGGCAAGGCTCACTCCTTACAAGGCACTGTGTGTTATGGCTGCTGGGACCATGGGTTATGAGGGTGAAGTTGGTCATGGGAAGGAAAGTCAAATTTGCTTGGTGGAGTAGGGGGCCTGGGGAGTCTTTATGGAATTGAGCCTTGAAAGATGAACAGAGTATTTCGGACAGTGAAGTAAGGAAGGGCACAAAGGGTACTGCAAGCAGTTGGAGGGGCTGCCAGCATACACAGTGAGCTCTGAGTTCTCTGGGAAGATCCCAGCAGTGACAGTGGCTCAGGTGTGAGGGTCCTTACATGAGATCAGGGAAGAGAGTACACTTCTCAAATCAAATTGCAAGTGCTTAGGAGGACAGAGCCTGGACTTGAATCCCGCCTCTATCACTGGCTCTCAGTGGGGCCTTGGGGGAAGATCCATCAGATAGACCAGCCTTAGTGTCCTCGTCTATGAAATGGGGATCATGAAGTCTACTCAGAATTGAGGGCTATCTAGGGAATTACACTGATTGTCATGGGTTGAGCACAGGGCCCAACATGACTTCATCTGAGCTACCTTTGCTGGTTACTGTTCCTTAAAGGGTGTGTTATATAAAACAAAGAGACATAGGTTGGCATTTTTACAGGCTCACCAGGGAATGAAGCTTTTCTGTGTGTGTCAGAATGTTCTGTGTGGCTGTCCAGAGAGGGGCAAGGCTTGTGTCTTGGTTCTCTAGTGTGGCTATAACAGAAGTACCACAGGTAGATGGCTTTAACAAACAGGAATTTATTCTCTTACAGTTTAGGAGGCTAGAAGTCTGAGTTCAGGGTGCGGGCTCTAGGGACTAGGTGAAGGCCCCCTGACCTTGGGCTTCAGCTCTGCCTCTTATTCAAGGCCCACTGAAGTTAGAGGCTTCTTCTGACTCATGCAGCTCCTGGCTCCTGAGGCTGATGAACTCAAGGTAGGCAGGTGAAATGGCACAGTCCTAAGGATATCAGGCAGCACAGCAGGCCACTGGTTCAGGAACTGGAGATGAGGATTTGGCCAAATGCAGCATCCAAATGTGCCAAAAAGCTAGAGCTCTTTCTCAAAGCTTGCCATATATACTGGAAGCAGGCCACACCCCGAAGGCAACTACTTGGCTGCTCATAGCAGATTCCACCATGGAGGTGATTATAATATCATCATGGGGAATAACTACCTCCAGCCGCTCAAAACTGTGGCCCAGCCCTGTTGACACACAACCTTAACTCCCACAGTTAGTGTTCAGTGAGTGGGTGGAGACAGGCTTCCTGATCTTCTGGGCACAGAAGTAGTGTGGTTTCAGTGAGGGCTCAAGGACTTCTGGTGGGCCTCAAGGTTTTACCCTAAATGCAGCCATTGACAGCCCAGGGTATTCTTTTGTGTTAGACTTTCTTTAAATTGACATCTTAATATTTTTTTATGCCCAACTAAGCCCTTTCTATGCACTGATACCTGTGGAGTATTGGATTCAAGATATATTTCCTTCTGATACATATTTATGTCATCAGGGGTGCCTACCATATGCCAGGCTATGAAAGAGGAGGGCCTGGAAGTTGGTGTTCCTTGGTGAGAAAAGAGTACCCAAACAACTAATTTTCCAAAGAATAGAGTATTGTATACTTCCTGCCTTTTTGTTTGTTTGTTTAAAAGGATACTTATAAATATTCATTTATGTTTTCTTCCACTTTCTTTGTTTTGTGAGGCCTTTGATAATTCAGCAGTGCTAGGAAGTTTTGGGATTTTATTTTTTAAGCATCATTCTTCTTTTATATATTTAAAAATTAGAACCTATGAGGGGTAGTTAGACCTAGGCAGTGTGATGGGTCAACTTGTAAAGGTTTATAGACTGCTTTCTGGCTCTCTTTACAATCAATCCATCCTCTAGACAAGAGCAGCAGCTTTTGTTTGAAGGGGGAACTGCCCTCATGATGTCACAGCCTGAAGCAGTGCAAGCTGTGTGCTATCAGCCCCAGCTGCCAGCACCAGGAGGTTTTCATCATAGACTGTTAATATGGTGGATTGTATTAATTGATTTTTTATTTTTTATTTTTTTTTTGTATTTTTCAGACTTTTTATTATTTATTTTTAAAATCTTGCTTTAGGTACAAGTTTACAGAGCAGAGTTTGTTTTGCATTCACCATTTTTTGTACGTTTGCTTTCATTCCCCAATTACCATCCCCAACCCTAACCCAGTCTCCTCCCCTCTCTGCCCAGTAACACCCCCTCCCATAGTTATGCACTCCTGTGGGTCTTGCATTTCCTCCCAGCAAATGTTGCCACTCTGGTGCTGAGTGGTCAATTGCTCCAAGGGATGCATTTCCATAGAGTATGTGGGTGCGTCACCGTGGGTTGAGTGGTCTGCGTGTACATCTTGTTTACTATTGGGCTGAGAGCCAGCCCCTGGGAGTGAGTTTTATTCCAGGCTCTAAATGTATCCCAGGGCCATATATTGGGGGTCCCACCAGACTCCATTCGACCTGTAATTCTGGTCATTACTGAGTTTTTGGATTCTTTTTTTAAATTGAATAATGCACATACCATAACATACACCCCT